ACACACCAAGTCCCCTTTTGCAAATGTGCATTTCTACATATAAATTGGATATCCCACAAAAAAAGAAACAACACAGCCAATACATTTTCAATTAAGACCATATTCACCTTAATACTGGGATGAGCGGAAGCTGGCATGCATGTCCTTGACTTTCTTCATGTTGTATTTATAGTTTTGTTGTTGCAATCATCAGTGAGGCATTCAAGATGAGCATGGGTCAGTCGGTTTCTCTGTTTCCTCTTGATAGTGTTTGGTTGAAAATGTTGACTCACAGGTGTATGTGCTCATGAAGAAAGACATCACTTTCTGTGCAAGTGGTTTCAAACTGGGGAAGTCTGCTTCAGAGACCAAACTCCAGAAGCGGCCAACACCTGCTCTGAGTTCAACTTGGAGAATGGTATTTGTTTGGATGCGCAGTTTAGAAATGGCGCTCCAAGTTGCTTCGTTTGAAACAGGCGCGGGTTTGTTTGCATATTAAGCACAGAGGGTTCATGCCATGAAGAATAAATAAGAATTCGTCTGTCCACTCTCCTTGAAATTTCCTGCGCTCATCTTGTAAGCTTCGTACCTTTCGTTTTTTACTGGGTACATCCGACGTTTGCCTGCTCGTCCCCTCTCCGGCGTCTTCATGCTGATTTTCGTTTGGTGCTTGTGCTGGTTTTTGCCCTTTTTTAATTAAAAAACGATCCATTGTGCCCGCATCTCAAGCTGGCTGGCCAGTGCGAGCCGCCAATTAAAGCTTGACGAGCCGCGCAATGAGCATCTCTGATCTACATGATCAAAATCGACCCAGTCTTTTCTCCGGTAGGTGGCGATAAAGTTCATATACGCTGAATACTCCTCCGCCGGATCGAAGAAGAAGACGTGGCTAAGGAAGTCAGGCTACATGCTAATGCTGCTAACAGGAGGACAGAAGAGGTGAGAGATCGCATCGCAGTAAAACAGTGAATTGTTAACAAGGAGAGAAGAATTGGTGGTAATGTCGTCGCACCGTGTTGGGTCGTATCAAGTTTTATCAGTGACTCGAACACTTTCGATCTGACGCTGTTCAAAAGTGATTCTATCTGTAATGCTCGTGCATATCTTCGTGGAACTAACTTATTTATTTTATACTTTTACTATCCCAGTATCTAATGATTGTTTCATATCTAAACTCTGCCACCTACAGTTTTCTCCAGTTACTAAAACACATCTTCACGACACTCAATAGTACATTTTTATTTTATTTTTTATTTTATTATTATTATATATTTATATGACCTACTATATAAATCATAAATGAATCGAACCAACAGCTGTTGCTCTTTACTGTAACACCTAATCCATCACTGCAGAGTGAACTCTGATTGTTGTTGTTCACCTGCTCCTGTTTTGTAATTTGTGGACATTCAAATTTAAGTTCAGAAATCTAGAAATGATAAGAAAGGATCAATGGAATATCAAAATTGTTTTGTCGTTCAATTGTCTGTCTATGGACAATTTAAGTTTGAATTTATCTTGTCTTATCTAAATAATAATAACTATGGCAACGTTTATAGCAATATCACACAATTTCATTATACTTAGATATAATTCCTATGCGTTGTGTAAGCACTCTGAGGGGACTAAACACATAATTGATCCACCTCAGATATGTAAAGTGTTTGTAATTATTATAAAGAAGAGTTTAGCCACAATCTTTGCTCAGGATCAAAAATCAGTCTTGTACCTGCTGTACATCAGTGTGTACACTTAGTCGACTCGGAATCTTTTCAACAGAAGGTATTTTTTCTTTCAGTGGGGTTTATAGCCTGGTTGAATTTTCTTTTCATTTAAAAGGTTCTGGTAAAAAGAGTCAACATGGAGACAGCGATGCCCGTGCCTGTTCTCCGTCTGCCCAAAGGACCAGACCCCAACAGCCGTGGATTTTACCCCAATTCCCCTCGTTTCATTGCTCTGTGTCGCACCTCGATCCCCACCTCAGCTGCTTCAGAGACAGACCCCGAGCAGCTGCAGAGAGAGCAGCACGCACGGTCTGTGCTGCGGGAGAGCTTCCTCCGGTGTCTGCTCTCCATGACCAACAAGAAGGTTCAGTTTCACATGTATGAGAAGGTGAAGGTGGAGGCCAAGTTTAGAGCATCGGACATCGACGTGCTGAACTTCCAGGTGTCGGACTTGCACACTCCCATCGGGGTGCAGAAAGAGGCTCTGATCAGGTGTCAGGATGTGATTTCATTTAGTTTTGATGCATGAACACTTGAGGATTTTTGTCAGTTTAAGTAGAACAGGTCTTGTATGAAAATGTCCTTGGAAATCTCTTTTGTTGTTGCATATAGGATCTATTTTCACAGTGAGATACTTCATATGTTTGTTTTTGCAGCACAGTGTTGTTGAATATTCGCATCTATATTGTTCATTAGATCCTACTTAAATGTGACTGTGCAAAGATGTCACTAACAAGCAGTCCCCCTTTGCCATCACAAGAGGGAGTCCTATCCCTGTGTTTCAAGGTTGATGTCAACACCTGACGTGAGCTGAAGCTTGCTCTTGCGTTAGATGATGTCATTGACAGTTAAATGTTGGATGATTTAAATAGTGTTCAAATGGTTTAGCAGCTCGAGTCATCCAATATATTTGTAGAACAATCTACTATTAAGCCAGAAAGATGGTGATCTCACCGGTCATGCTGCCTTGAGGAACAAGAAATGAATCAAAGCACAAACATGATCAAACAATATCTACTGTTGCATCACAATGAGTCAGTGAGTGCCTCCTTCTACCGCTACACTCTCAGGCCTCTGTAGATCATCACCTCTGTCTTCAACGTGAGATGATCTATTACTGTGACATTCAACCGTTTAACTGAGACAAATTAAATGTTGCACTTGAGATGTTTTTCTAGTGTTTTTTTCAAAATGTATATAAAGGTACAGTGTGTACGATTTAGTTGAAAATGATCTCTTAGCAAAAACTGACTATAAAATAATCCTAGTGATGTTTTCACTAGTGTGTTTCATCTAAATTGTACCAATTGTTGAACTTTACCCTAGAATGGGCCCTTTATATTTAAATACTTTATATTTACATCAGGAGGGGGTCCTCTCTACGGAGGCCACCATGTTATTTTACAGCAGTCTGAACTAGACAAACTAAACACCTTTTGAGTTTTTACAACAACTGAAGGCTGCCACAGGTTCTCCTTCATTGGAAGGGGAGGGTGAGGTGAAGGGTATTCAGCTGCAACATGCAAATTCACCACTAGATATCACTAAATTGTACACACTGAACCTTTAAGTACTTTTGTATACTAGTATACTAGAGTTGTTCTTTACCTTAAAGATGAATGATTGATTTAAGACTGCTCCATTTTGACTGATGTTTAATCATCATATCCATAAAAACTAATATGTTGTTTTCAAATATGCCTAAAAGACTGTATTTTATTAGTAGTAGTAGTCAACAGTAAATGACCTCTGTAGTGTCTGTATGACATCACAGGTTCACATTAGACCTGCAGTTGGTTACTTGACCACAATAATCAATTTGTAAATGGACATAAAATTAATCATTTGGCATTTTTGCTTAGTTAATAAGTAATGAAAACATCCATCTAAGTACCTTGGTCCAAAAAAGGGACACAGTGTTTTAGTTGAAATCTCACACTGGGCATTACACCCAAACTGGAAATATCCCGTCATCTTGCTGGATCTTTTTTTAACAACATTTTGTTAGCATGGTTTACCAAAGCACAAACAAAAACAATTAACAGAAACACCAAAATCACACGAAATGACACCAGATTAGACCAATGCATATGTTATCACAACCCTATCAATAGGTCGAAGAAATGAATAAGGTAAGAAAGGAAAAGAACACATAGATAAATAAATTGCTTCAAGTAATATCCATAGGTTATTCAGGAGAGCAATAAGGAAAGAAAAAAGTAGTCTTTTGATTGATTTTCCAACAGAGAATGTTCACACTTCAAGCATTGAGGTCCAGGGACCCATGTGACCCCTCAGGACCCTGAGCTTCTGCCCATTTGCCTTAAATCATCTCTGATTACAGAACTTCAGTTAAACCTGAACAATAAATAAATGTTGTATCAGGTCACAGATCCTAAACCTTTGTAGAGTGTGACATAAACCTGGATTAAAGTAAAAGGATCTAAACTATACTTTCACATAGATCAGGTGCACGTCTGATGATTTTCCCTGAATGGTTCAGTAATGTTCTAATGTAGCCAAAACTGAGCTCAGCACAGATATTAGTTATTTGAATCCTCGGTCATAAATAAAACACAGAAGATAGGAATTCATCATTGTTTAGCACCGGCCTCATGGAGGAAGAGGAGGAGAGGAAGAGAGGGTGGGGGGGCATCAATACTATTTAATCTTCCTAAAAGGTGTATTTTGCAAGTTCCCAATAAGTCATTTTATTTGAGTGCCATTAGGCGGTCGTGCTGTGCCTGTGTCTCTTTTTGTACCTGAATTATCTGACCACTCAGTGTAGACAATCATCAATGAGGCAGTGACTCATCCTCCCTCCCCTCCCATCGCTCTCTCTCTCTCTCCCTCGCCCTCCCTAATCCGAAATATGACTTAAAACCTCACATGACGTCATCGGGCCTGCGCGATTCAATCAGGAAGCCCTCAAGGACAACCAATGTTAATTTCATATACACGGGCGAGCTATGACCAGCAGCCCTCAGCTCTCACTCACCTCTGTGACAAGCGTCTGCAGGAACACGTACACAGACATATGCCTTTCTATTTTTGGCTGCTTCATACTTTATACTTCGCTCTTTTTCTCCTCTGAGGCAACTGTTGTACATTTCACTCTACTTCATTTATCTGTCTGTAAATGCTTTGCAGACAAAGATTATACAAAACATATGAACAGCTAATGACACAATGAATCAGTACCATCCTGCTGTAATTAAAATCAAGTCAAGTTTATTAATATCGCACATATCATATGAGAGATATAGACGATAAAAATATGTGTAAACTGGAATAACTGTCCTGCAGTTGAGTACCTGCAGCATCAAGTGCAGTATCAGTCTTCATACATTTCTTTTTCAGGACTTATATGAAGTCACTGTGACCTTTGACCACTGAAGTCTAATCAGTTAATCTGTGAATCTAATTGAACATTAGTGCCAAATTTGAGTTTTTGATGCCGCAGTGACATTGACCACCAAAATCACATCAGTTCATCTTTGAGAAAGTTTATACCAAGTTTAAAGAAATTCCCTCAAGGGGATTTTGAGATATTGTTTAACAAGAATGGGACGAACTGACGGACAATCTGAAAACATAATGCCTCTGGCCACTGGCTATCACCAGCATGGTGACTTAACAAATAAATATGTGGCAAACATAAAACTGAAGCGATAAAAATTAAAGTCAAAAATATGTTCAGCAAAAACAGAGACAGAGGAAATTAAAGCTGTAATTTGGAAATGTGACAAAAATATTGATTCAGCAATAAATCAAATAAAGGGGTTCTCTTTAACCACATACTCATCAAAAGTGTACGAATGTAGTTGTAGTTTTTGAATCAGTTCCTCCACTTACGTCACTGAAATGCTGCTTGCACAGTTATATGGACGCGTTTGAGGAGCAAATGCTGATTTAGGATCAAAACAGAAGTTTGTGAAAATAGAGTTCTTATTTGTAAAAAAAGTATTAACACTTAAAAATAGAGCCCACATGTCTGGTTCTACTGTGTAACTTAAAAAATTAAGGTAATAATTACTGGATTCCTTATAAAACTTTAAAGTCAAACTATGCTTGATTTGCCTACATAACTTTTACTTTATTAGTACTAATACTTCTAGTATTACATTACTTTGTTGTTATGTTTTATAGGATGACATTACAGAAATTACTTTAAAGTTGTTTTGTTTTTGACTGACATAAGCAGGGGCGTGTCAGGTGACTTTGGGGGCCTAGAGAAAATGGGCGGACCCTGCACAATTATTGTTAGGCCTACATGAGTTGTGTTGCAACCTCGAGGGCCTGGAGTGGAGAGGTGGCCCCTGAGGTTGGCCCCTGGACCTTACTGCTGCTGTGCTGGACGAACGGGTCTGCTCGCAGCAGACTTTAAAAACTACACACAAGCAGAAGACATGTTAATAAATCCATGCAGTGCGGATGCAGCTCACCTGCTAACAGCACACCTGTAAAAAACTGAGCGCCGCTCTTCAATATTGGATTTTCTCCGACCCACCAGAGGAAACTTGAACGTTACACAGTGAGAACCAGAACTGCAGGCAGTAAAATAATGTGAGGTGGTTCTGCGTTGACTGTTCTCCCATTTTCCTCTTTAATTACACAGAAAGAACAATGTTATTAATACATGTTTCATTCGTTTTCCATGTACTTTCCCCACAGATCTCCTGTATTAACAGTGTACTTTCAGAATAATTTATTTCTCCTTTCCTCTTAAATACCTGGTTGTTACCACCCTTGTTACCTGTCATTTAAGCACCAACCACTGAGTATCTTATTGGAACCTAATTCATATTAAATCACACTATACATTTCAGGCTGTATTATAAAATGTTACCATCATTTCTGCATAAAAACCTGAGCAGGATTCAGGCTCTTCTCTGCACAAGGACACACTATCTCAATGTTATCTTGCCTCACTGTTTGTCTTTCCTGACCGTCTGCTTCTCCCTGATTCCAGTGGAAAAACATTCCTGCCTCTTAGTATCAATTTGTGTTGTGTGTGTGTGTGTGTGTGTGCATCAGCTATGATGGTACAAGGAATCTGCCCTGTATAACACCATCAGGAAGCACATTCCGCTCCTTCCTGTTTGTGGCCCCCTCTCGCTTCCTGCTGAGTGTCTGATAACTTACAGAACCAATTAATCACCCTTTTGCCCAAACCTGCTGCCAGCAGACCAAAATAATTGGGCAGTGACCTCATGATTGTGTATTTTTAGCGTGTTTCATTACAGACATTTGCAGATAATGATGTTAAACGTGATGAAGTATTATTGTATGAGACTGATCCAACATCTGTAAACACAAAAGATAAGATTGATCAACACACTTGAGCACATCAGGGATGCATGAATCAATAAGCATGTATGTTGACTACTTTGACTCTTTTTCACTTTACTTTGAAATAACATTTTATAGACTTAACTTTTTGCTTATTCACTGCTTGATTTAATGTTACTTGCATTTTCCTCTATTTCCCATGACTTCTGCATCTTATCTTGATATGCATATTTCAACTTATATCATATGGATTACAATGCAGACATTTATGATCCCCAGAGGATGAAGCCAAAATAATCAGCCCTGTCTCTATAAGTACAACTAAACTGCAACCACAAATATGTTTTGGCTGTATGTAGTTTTCTCTAAACTTTGCAAAGCATATGGCAAATTGCAAATATATTGATACTGAACATTTCAACAAAATATCAACTGTACACAGACAACGTGTTTGTTTACGCAACATATTTACTAGCATTGAACTAAAACCATTGTCTTTAATTTGTCTTAAGTTAACCAAAGTGCTTTTCTTGCCTAAACCACATACAGGACTCTGGATGTGAAACCTTGTCTCTTGTTTGACAGTTGTGCTCTTTGTCTACTCACCTTTGAATCCAACCTTCGAATACAACTCTGTGTGCCACGGCTGTTAATCAGTTGACCACTTCATTCATTCAAAATGTTTGCATCTGATTGTTATCTTTCAAATGTCTGAAAAACTTTTTCCATTGATATTTATTTGTACAGAAACATTGACCGACTTAGGTGACCCCCAAATATATGTGCAGTTCAACCTGCAGGTAAACATTTCCAGTTATCCTGTAAAATATCTCACTGTGAACTGGATGATTTGGTACAATTATTTGGTTCAGA